GTTCTAGAACTGGCTTCCTACCCATTATAAGTGTATCAGAACTCACAGATCTGCACTGGATATCAAGTGTGTTCCTGAGTTCTAGAACTGGCTTCCTACCCATTAGCAGTGTATCATAACTCACAGATCTGCACTGGATATCAAGTGTGTTCCTGAGTTCTTGAACTGGCTTCCTACCCATTATAAGTGTATCATAACTCACAGATCTACACTGGATATCAAGTGTGTTCCTGAGTTCTAGAACTGGCTTCCTACCCATTATAAGTGTATCTGAACTCACAGATTTGCACTGGATATCAAGTGTGTTCCTGAGTTCTAGAACTGGCTTCCTACCCATTATAAGTGTATCATAACTCACAGATCTGCACTGGATATCAAGTGTGTTCCTAGGTTCTAGAACTGGCTTCCTACCCAATATAAGTGTATCTGAACTGTCATAGATCTCATTATTATCCTAAATTCTCACTGCAATTTCTGATTTTGAACACATAATGAGAACTTAACCAAAAATCAGAATATTCAGCTTAAGAAACTGAAATACCCCAAACATATCCAAGTCATATATGGACACATTTTGTTGCTTCACAAAAGAGGACTGAAACATTTGTTTGTATCTTTATATTGAGTTTCCCAGTTACATTTTGTGTTCATCTGGCATTGGTAGCAGTTTCAAGAGAAATCACCCCTACTATTCTACACACAGCCGAGTGTGGAAACTGCGTGCACAGTAGGTCATAAAAGAACTTATCAATGCATTGCCACAAGACACACATGACAAATAAATCAATATGGCTGACAATATGTGTTTGCTTATTACAATATATCCAATATTATGAATAAATATGTGAACCCCCAGTTGAAACAGAGGTGGCTATATTTACAATTTGTGGCTATCTAGAGACCAGAAATAAAACACCCACGAGAGAACAAACAGATTCTGAAATCTTTCAAGTCAAGGTGATACATATGAAAATATCTCCAATTAAGGTGAAACATAAAAACCCATGATTTTCCTCCCAATAAAATACACATATGATGTACAACAGAAAGTGCACTCTTGCTAGACCTACAACAGAGAGTATACAACTTTGTAGGACATAATACAACAGATAGTATACAACTTTGTAGGACATAATACAACAGAAAGTGCACATATCTGAAAGACATTATCACAGAATGTGCACATCTCTGAAACACATCACCAAAAAAGTGCACATGTTTTCTTCTTATTTTTCTTCTTCAATACTTCTCTCAGAAAACTGACATCCAAAGACCAGTAGCCTTTATGAAAGCCATCGTACAATCCATATCTTCTTGTGTACCATACAGTTTCATTGTGATTGGAACAGGCCAGACTGGGTCTCTGTTGTCAGCATACAGTTAACAGTGTTGGAGCACATGCTCAGCATTTCAGGTGCCAGGGACACATCTCTGTGTTTTCTACTCTGACAAGTTTGAACAAACATTGGCAAAGTCTGTTGTGCCCTGTCCTTAGTCTAAATATAATACATTGCATCTCTAGAGAGGCGATAAAGCGAATCTTGAGGAGAGAATTTGGTGTGTTTATCCAGCCAAATTTTTTTGATACTAGACTGTTTTAATTCTTAGTCTCTTGGTGGGCTGAGTCAACACTATTTGAATGCACAATGGTACTGCACATATTTGAAAAACATACAACAGAAAGTGTGAGGTGTACAACACAGATATATATTATAAGATGTACATCATCTGTGTAACCAATCTACACAGAAATTCACATACATATGAGAGGCAACAACATCAGTCATGCAACAACATCAGTCATGCAACAAAAGTTACAGTAATTCTTCAAACCACAAACAGCAGATTTGATATATATTAGAAATATGTACAATTCTGTCTTCAACAAAATCACACTGCAGCGGGTCATGGCTAAAATAAAATGTTTAGAACATCAAGTCAGACATGTTCAACATTCGTGGGATGATTTCACAAGTTCATGAGACATGCAAACATGAGTGGGCGATACACAAGATGTAATTATGGTATTTAAATGCAAAAAGAAACAAATCAGTACTTCTATAAAAGCATTCAGTCCTTCTTCCTAAAAAAAATGAGTTTATTGATACTGATGGTCTTTAGTCTTTTCTGTCAAAACTGAATGTTCCACAAAAATCTAGAAGAAACTATTTCACAGTTTGGTCACAATCAGATTTTAAATCTTTCATTTCCGAAAACGTATGCAGCAGACACCAAAGCAGTGGATTACTGATTCTGATTACTGATTTAAGAATCGACATCACAGAACACTGGGCATACCCATATATGCTCCGTCTCACGCAGCAAATGATGTCAGGTGTAGATGCTAACTGTTCCCGTAGCATAGCAGTGAAAATAACCACTAAGAAATGACATTCAAAGAGGTTCAAAATCATAGTGGAAGTGGACACTGGCCAGACTTCTTGAGTATTTGCTGACCGAATGTTAAATTAAAAAATAATAAGAGAACAAAAAATATGTTGGTTGACATTCAAGGGGTCAGATAAGCACACTTTACATGTTGTTTGGGACTGGAGGCTATAAGAGAATTAAAATTAATACAGCATAAACTTAAGGAGTTCAGGTATATTTCAGGTTTGTGGCAATGAAAATGTCTAAAAAATAAGTGGTTTTTAATAAAAATCAGTTGCCTTATTGTCATTTGTGAGTGTGATACAGTGTACGATTGGCTGCCAGCAAACACCTTCTCAAACTGCCAATGAAATTTCAGTCTTAACTGTCAAGCCACGAGACAGATCAAAACTACATTAAAGCGGTTTTTACATACAAGTGGTTGACTAGTTTATTCAAATCTGGGATACACAGAAAATAAAACCATCCATGATTAACTTTTCCAATGTTTTTGACAGAAATTCAGAAAACTTGGAGACACACGCAATTTACAGACAAGGACAGCTCAATCCAGCCCCTGCATAGATTCAGCTAAAGTCTACAAGTGGTCAGTGAGCATCTCGGCTCAGTAGTCATCCAGCTTTAATTTGTTTGCTGGTGTTCAGCATTGAGTTTTTAACCTTGTCACCCCAAAAAAGCTGGTTTCCCGTCTTTTACATGTTTTGAAAACATGTTGTAGCTCTGGTACTAGTTGCAGCTGTATAGTGTGTAGACTCTGTGGGTTTGATACATTTAAACCTTAAAAAATTATGAGATATTATTAGGGCAAAAAAAAAAAACTTTTATTTTCTGGGTAACTGTGACATCACAATGATGTGTCATTTTTCTCTCTGTGGCTGTGTCCCAAAAACAAAATAATTTTTTTGTTCAAAGGGAGGAAAAGCAGTTGTTTCTTTTTTCGGTTTCTATTTAGTGGTTACTTCCCTTCATAAATTGTTGTTTTAAAGAATCACCTCTGCGCAAAATAATGACTTTAAATGTGAAAAATCCATCTTTCAGTGATTTCGGACAACCATGATTCAAATACTAGCAGGCTTGCCAGTCTGCTCGGTGGTCACAGATTTTTCTTCTTTTTCTCTAGTTCCTGGGGCAAAGTTTCTGAGAAATAAAACAATGCACTTCTGTCCAGCGACATTTTGAACAGGTTATTTTTAAGATGTTTACAGGGTGAAAGGTTAAATACTGTTTGACCTCAGCACCACAGCTGGCGCAGGTCTCCTCCTGACTTTTGTTTCTTCAAAAGACGGCAGCCGCTGCTGCTGAATCCAAAGTGTTTTTGAGTTGAATTTTTCCATTTCTTTACTGTTCACTGAAATTTGTGCTTGCTAGGTTTTATCAAGTCATTTTTAAATTCCTTGGCCCTGTTTGAGAACAGAATTGTTATCATCTGCATATGTCAGTTCTGAAATCCCATTCCGTCAATTTAAAATGGGTCAAAATGTTTCTATTAGGGAAAGCTTTAAATAATATTTAAAGAAAACAAAATTGATTTAATTGCCACAGACTGTATCCTATAATGCTCACTCTTTTTGCAGAGCCACTGGCCACTGCCAAGAGTGTTGCACAAACCATCAACAACAGAGCTCCTGTGATTATCTCTAGGGATCCCTAAATATGCCACTTCAATGTTTTTTGCTGCAAGTGTTCAAGCCTGGTAAATGACAATATTCCCTATCAGTCATAGAATACATCAGTGACGGCCATCTCAAGACTACATCCTTTCTGATTTCAACAACCAATGTTTCCTCACATAAACTTTGTACAACACACCCATTCTCCCCCTCATATCTCACACAATATCCATACTCAATCCCACATACATCCAAGCAAACACACATACATCCAAGCAAACCCACATACATCCAAGCAAACCCACATACATCCAAGCAAACACACATACATCCAAGCAAACACACATACATCCAAGCAAACCCACACATACATCCAAGCAAACCACATACATCCAAGCAAACCATACACATACACCAAGCAAACACACATACATCCAAGCAAACACACATAGCAAACACACATACATCCAAGCAAACACACATACATCCAAGCAAACACACATACATCCAAGCAAACACACATACATCCAAGCAAACACACATACATCCAAGCAAACACACATACATCCAAGCAAACACACATACATCCAAGCAAACACACATACATCCAAGCAAACACACATACATCCAAGCAAACCCACATACATCCAAGCAAACCCACATACATCCAAGCAAACCCACATACATCCAAGCAAACACACATACATCCAAGCAAACCCACATACATCCAAGCAAACACACATACATCCAAAACCAAACACACATACATCCAAGCAAACCCACATACATCCAAGCAAACACACATACATCCAAGCAAACACACATACATCCAAGCAAACACACATACATCCAAGCAAACACACATACATCCAAGCAAACACACATACATCCAAGCAAACACACATACATCCAAGCAAACACACATACATCCAAGCAAACACACATACATCCAAGCAAACACACATACATAAATAAATTACTTGTCATCACATCACCAGCTCACAAAGTTCCAAGATCATTGAACTTTTTTAGTACGCCAGGTAACTTGTCTTTGTAGAGAACTGGGTCCGCCCGAAACTCGATGGCTTTCAGAGGCATGGAACCATAGAGCTGCACAAAATGGTTGATACACTCAGACCTCTCCACCATGTGAGAGGTATCGGCAGAAAGCATCTCCTTGACACACTCTGGGCACTTGAACTTCTTGCGAGGGACAACCTGGGAAAGGGCAGACAATGTCAGAGCTTAAACTCCACTATTTGCACAGATACACAGAATTTAAACTCCACTAACAGCAAACCGACATAGAGTTTCACCTCAACAAACTTTAAACAGACAGACAGTTTAACCTCAACTAACTTTAAGACATACACAGTTTAACCTCAACTAACTTTCAACAAACATAGTTTAACCTCAACTAACTTTAAACAAACATAGTTTAACCTCAACTAACTTCAAACAAACATAGTTTAACCTCAACTAACTTTAAACAAACATAGTTTAACCTCAACTAACTTTAAACAAACATAGTTTAACCTCAACTAACTTTAAACAGACATACAGTTTAACCTCAACTAACTTTAAACAGACATACAGTTTAACCTTATCTAACTTTAAACAGACATAGTTTCACCTTAACTAACTTTAAAAAAACATACAATTAACCTTAACTAACTTTAAACAGACATACAGTTTAACCTTATCTAACATTAAACAGACATACATTTAACCTTAACTAACTTTAAACAGACATCCTCAACTAACTTTAAACAGATACAGAGTTTAACCTCAACTACCTCTATACAGACACAGAGTTTAACCTTAACTGACCTTAAACAGACACAGAGTTTAAGCCTTGACTGACCGTACAGTCACAGAGTTTAACCTCAACTACCTGTACACAAACACAGGAGTTTAACCTTACTGCACACAGACACAGAATTTAACCTCACTGTACACAGACACAGAGTTTAACCTCACTGTACACAGACACAGAGTTTAACCTCACTGTACACAGACACAGAGTTTAACCTCACTGTACACAGACACAGAGTTTAACCTCACTGTACACAGACACAGAGTTTAACCTCACTGTACACAGACACAGAGTTTAACCTCACTGTACACAGACACAGAGTTTAACCTCACTGTACACAGACACAGAGTTTAACCTCACTGTACACAGACAGAGTTTAACCTCACTGTACACAGACACAGTTTAACCTCACTGTACAGTGACACAGAGTTTAACCTCAACTAAATGAACAGACACAGAGTTTAACCTCAACTAAATGAACAGACACAGTTTAACCTCAACTAACTGTACACAGACACATAGTTTAACCTGAACTAAATGAACAGACACGGTTTAACCTCAACTAAATCAACAGACATAGAGTTTAACCTCAACTAAATGTACACAGACACATAGTTTAACCTTAACTAAATGAACAGGCACATAGTTTAACCTCAACTAACTGTACAGAGACACATAGTTTAACCACAACTAAATGAACAGACATAGAGTTTAACCTCAACTAAATGTACACAGACACATAGTTTAACCTTAACTAAATGAACAGGCACATAGTTTAACCTCAACTAACTGTACAGAGACACATAGTTTAACCACAACTAAATGAACAGACATAGTTTAACCTCGACTAAATGTACACAGACACATAGTTTAACCTTAACTAAATGAAAAGACACGAGTTTAACCTCAACTAAATGAACAGACACATAGTTTAACCTCAACTAAATGAACAGACACAGAGTTTAACCTCAACTAAATGTACACAGACACAGAGTTTAACCTCAACTAAATGTACACAGACACATAGTTTAACCTCAACTAACTGTACACAGACACATAGTTTAACCTCAACTAAATGTACACAGGCACATAGTTTAACCTCAACTAAATGTACACAGGCACATAGTTTAACCTCAACTAAATGTACACAGACACAGAGTTTAACCTCAACTAAATGAACAGACACAGAGTTTAACCTCAACTAAATGTACACAGACACAGAGTTTAACCTCAACTAACTGTACACAGACACATAGTTTAACCTCAACTAACTGTACACAGACACATAGTTTAACCTCAACTAAATGTACACAGGCACATAGTTTAACCTCAACTAAATGTACACAGGCACATAGTTTAAAAGATAAAACAAGGACACATAAAACAAATGTAAACAGGCACATAGTTTATAACCAAGGACAACTAAATGTACACAAGGCACAATAAACAAAAGATAAAACTCAACTAAATGTAAAACAGGCACATAGTTTAAAACAAGGAACAAGAAAAAACTGTAAAACAAGGACTCAGAAACAAAAAGATAAAACAAGTATACAGATAAAACAAAACTAAACTGTATACAACACACACAGAATAAAACAAGGACACAGTGGGAAAATAATTAAAATATAAAAACAAGGACACAAAAAAATAAGATTAAAAAAAAAAAACAATAAACAAAAGATAAAACAAAAACACAATAAAGAAAAGATAAAACAAAAACACAATAAAGAAAAGATAAAACAAAAACACAATAAACAAAAGATAAAACAAGGACACAATAAACAAAAGATAAAACAAGGACACAATAAACAAAAGATAAAACAAGGACACAATAAACAAAAAAACAAGGACACAATAACAAAAGACAAACAATAAAAACAAAAGATAAAACAAGGACACAATAAACAAAAGATAAAACAAGGACACAATAAACAAAAGATAAAAACAAGGACACAATAAACAAAAGATAAAACAAGGACACAATAAACAAAAGATAAAAACAAGGACACAATAAACAAAAGATAAAAACAAGGACACAATAAACAAAAGATAAAAACAAGGACACAATAAACAAAAGATAAAACAAGGACACAATAAACAAAAGATAAAAACAAGGACACATAAACAAAAGATAAAAAACAATTACACAATAAACAAAAGATAAAAAACAAGGACACAATAAACAAAAGATAAAACAAGGACACAATAAACAAAAGATAAAACAAAGGACACAAAAAATAAATAAAAAGGACACAATAAACAAAAGATAAAAAAAGGACACACAAAGATAAAACAAGGACAACAATAACAAAAGATAAAACAAGGACACAATAAACAAAAGATAAAAACAAGGACACAATAAACAAAAGATAAAACAAGGACACAATAAACAAAAGATAAAAACAAGGACACAATAAAAACAAAAGATAAAAGGACAAGGACACAATAAACAAAAGATAAAACAAGGACACAATAAACAAAAGATAAAAAAGGACAATAGACACAATAAACAAAAGATAAAACAAAGGACACACATTAACAAAAGATAAAACAAGGACACAATAAACAAAAGATAAAACAAGGACACAATAAACAAAAGATAAAACAAGGACACAATAAACAAAAGATAAAACAAGGACACAATAAACAAAAGATAAAACAAAGACACAATAAACAAAAGATAAAACAAAGACACAATAAACAAAAGATAAAACAAGGACACAATAAACAAAAGATAAAACAAGGACACAATAAACAAAAGATAAAACAAGGACACAATAAACAAAAGATAAAACAAGGACACAATAAACAAAACAGATAAAAAGATTGACACAATGCTGTCAAAGGACAACAATAAACAAAAGATAAAAACAAAGACACAATAAACAAAAGATAAAAACAAAGACACAATAAACAAAAGATATTAAATAAACTAAAAGTTCGTTGCTGTGGAGCCTTGGGAGTGTATACATTTCAGTGAATCAAGAAGGCAGCTAGTTCAAAAATAGTGTTAGATAGAAATAGACAAATAGTTCAGACATTGTGTTGTCAGACATAGAACGGCACTGAGGCACATGGAAACAACACATAGAGAGGCAGCTAGTTCAGACATAGAGAGGCAGCTAGTTCAGACATAGAGAGGCAACTAGTTCAGACATAGAGAGGCAGCTAGTTCAGACATAGAGAGGCAGCTAGTTCAGACATAGAGAGGCAACTAGTTCAGACATAGAGAGGCAGCTAGTTCAGACATAGAGAGGCAGCTAGTTCAGACATAGAGAGGCAGCTAGTTCAGACATTGTGTTGTTAGACATAGAGAGGCAGCTAGTTCAGACATTGTGTTGTCAGACATAGAGAGGCAGCTAGTTCAGACATAGAGAGGCAGCTAGTTCAGACATAGAGAGGCAGCTAGTTCAGACATAGAGAGGCAACTAGTTCAGACATAGAGAGGCAACTAGTTCAGACATTGTGTTGTCAGACATAGAGAGGCAGCTAGTTCAGACATTGTGTTGTCAGACATAGAGAGGCAACTAGTTCAGACATTGTGTTGTCAGACATAGAGAGGCAGCTAGTTCAGACATTGTGTTGTCAGACATAGAGAGGCAGCTAGTTCAGACATTGTGTTGTCAGACATAGAGAGGCAACTAGTTCAGACATTGTGTTGTTAGACATAGAGAGGCAGCTAGTTCAGACATAGAGAGGCAGCTAGTTCAGACATTGTGTTGTCAGACATAGAGAGGCAGCTAGTTCAGACATTGTGTTGTCAGACATAGAGAGGCAGCTAGTTCAGACATAGTTCAGACATAGAGAGGCAGCTAGTTCAGACATTGTGTTGTCAGACATAGAGAGGCAGCTAGTTCAGACATAGAGAGGCAGCTAGTTCAGACATTGTGTCAGACATAGAGAGGCAGCTAGTTCAGACATAGAGAGGCAGCTAGTTCAGACATAGAGAGGCAGCTAGTTCAGACATAGAGAGGCAGCAGCATAGTTAGACATAGAGAGGCAGCTAGTTCAGACATAGTTCAGACACATGTGTTAGTTCAGACATAGAGAGGCAGCTAGTTCAGACATAGAGTTGTTCAGACATAGAGAGGCAGCTAGTTCAGACATTGTGTTGGGCAGTTCAGAGGCAGCTAGTTCAGACAGAGGCAGCTAGTTCAGACATTGTGTTGTTAGTTCAGACATAGAGGCAGGCTAGTTCAGACATTGTGTTGTTAGACATAGAGAGGCAACTAGTTCAGACATTGTGTTGTTAGACATAGAGAGGCAACTAGTTCAGACATTGTGTTGTCAGACATAGAGAGGCAACTAGTTCAGACATTGTGTTGTCAGACATAGAGAGGCAACTAGTTCAGACATTGTGTTGTCAGACATAGAGAGGCAACTAGTTCAGACATTGTGTTGTCAGACATAGAGAGGCAACTAGTTCAGACATAGAGAGGCAACTAGTTCAGACATAGAGAGGCAACTAGTTCAGACATTGTGTTGTCAGACATAGAGAGGCAACTAGTTCAGACATAGAGAGGCAACTAGTTCAGACATAGAGAGGCAGTTCAGACATAGAGAGGCAACTAGTTCAGACATTGTGTTGTCAGACATAGAGAGGCAGCTAGTTCAGACATTGTGTTGTTGGACAGAGAGAGGCAGCTAGTTCAGACATAGAGAGGCAACTAGTTCAGACATTGTGTTGTTAGTTCAGACATAGAGAGGTTCAGACTAGTTCAGACATAGTTCAGGCATGTGTTGTCAGACATAGAGAGGCAGCTAGTTCAGACATTGTGTTGTCAGACATAGAGAGGCAACTAGTTCAGACATTGTGTTGTTCAGACATAGAGAGGCAACTAGTTCAGACATTGTGTTGTCAGACATAGAGAGGCAACTAGTTCAGACATTGTGTTGTCAGACATAGAGAGGCAACTAGTTCAGACATTGTGTTGTCAGACATAGAGAGGCAACTAGTTCAGACATTGTGTTGTCAGACATAGAGAGGCAACTAGTTCAGACATTGTGTTGTCAGACATAGAGAGGCAACTAGTTCAGACATAGAGAGGCAACTAGTTCAGACATAGAGAGGCAACTAGTTCAGACATAGAGAGGCAACTAGTTCAGACATTGTGTTGTCAGACATAGAGAGGCAACTAGTTCAGACATTGTGTTGTCAGACATAGAGAGGCAACTAGTTCAGACATTGTGTTGTCAGACATAGAGAGGCAGCTAGTTCAGACATAGAGAGGCAGCTAGTTCAGACATTGTGTTGTCAGACATAGAGAGGCAACTAGTTCAGACATTGTGTTGTCAGACATAGAGAGGCAGCTAGTTCAGACATTGTGTTGTTAGACATAGAGAGGCAACTAGTTCAGACATAGTGAGTCAGACATAGAGAGGCAGTTCTAGTTCAGACATAGAGAGGCAGCTAGTTCAGTTGTGTTAGTTCAGACATAGAGAGGCAACTAGTTCAGACATTGTGTTGTTGGACAGAGAGAGGCAGCTAGTTCAGACATAGAGAGGCAGCTAGTTCAGACATTGTGTTGTTGGACAGAGAGAGGCAACTAGTTCAGACATTGTGTTGTCAGACATAGAGAGGCAGCTAGTTCAGACATTGTGTTGTCAGACATAGAGAGGCAGCTAGTTCAGACATTGTGTTGTTGGACAGAGAGAGGCAGCTAGTTCAGACATTGTGTTGTTCAGACATAGAGAGGCAGCTAGTTCAGACTAGTGTCAGACATAGAGAGGCAGCTAGTTCAGACATTGTGTTGTCAGAGACAGAGAGAGCAGCTAGTTCAGACATTGTGTTGTTCAGACATAGAGAGGCAGCTAGTTCAGACATTGTGTTGTCAGACATAGAGAGGCAGCTAGTTCAGACATAGAGAGGCAGCTAGTTCAGACATTGTGTTGTCAGACATAGAGAGGCAGCTAGTTCAGACATTGTGTTGTCAGACATAGAGAGGCAGCTAGTTCAGACATAGAGAGGCAGCTAGTTCAGACATAGTTTAGTTCAGACATTGGCAGCTAGTTCAGACATAGAGAGGCAGCTAGTTCAGACATTGTGTTGTCAGACATAGAGAGGCAGCTAGTTCAGACATTGTGTTGTCAGACATAGAGAGGCAGCTAGTTCAGACATTGTGTTGTCAGACATAGAGAGGCAGCTAGTTCAGACATTGTGTTGTTCAGACATAGAGAGGCAGCTAGTTCAGACATAGAGAGGCAGCTAGTTCAGACATTGTGTTGTTAGACATAGAGAGGCAGCTAGTTCAGACATAGAGAGGCAGCTAGTTCAGACATAGAGAGGCAGCTAGTTCAGACATAGAGAGGCAGCTAGTTCAGACATAGAGAGGCAGCTAGTTCAGACATAGAGAGGCAGCTAGTTCAGACATAGAGAGGCAGCTAGTTCAGACATTGTGTTGTTAGACATAGAGAGGCAGCTAGTTCAGACATAGAGAGGCAGCTAGTTCAGACATAGAGAGGCAGCTACATAGAGAGGCAGCTAGTTCAGACATAGAGAGGCAGCTAGTTCAGACATTGTGTTGTCAGACATAGAGAGGCAGCTAGTTCAGACATAGAGAGGCAGCTAGTTCAGACATAGAGAGGCAACTAGTTCAGACATAGAGAGGCAGCTAGTTCAGACATAGAGAGGCAGCTAGTTCAGACATAGAGAGGCAGCTAGTTCAGACATAGAGAGGCAACTAGTTCAGACATAGAGAGGCAGCTAGTTCAGACATAGAGAGGCAGCTAGTTCAGAGTTCATGAGTTCAGACATAGAGAGGCAGCTAGTTCAGACATGAGGTACCAGGCATTTAGAGAGGCAGCAGACATAGAGCAGTCTTGTAACAGTTGCATTACCAAACCGTGTATCTTCCCAGCCTAGGTTGCTCTCAACTGTCTTCTCAGCCTATGACGCTCTCAACTGTCTTCTCAGCCTAGGATACCATAACTGTCTTCTCAGCCTAGGATACCATAACTGTCTTCTCAGCCTATGATGCTCTCAACTGTCTTCTCAGCCTATGATGCTCTCAACTGTCTTCTCAGCCTATGATGCTCTCAACTGTCTTCTCAGCCTATGATGCTCTCAACTGTCTTCTCAGCCTATGATGCTCTCAACTGTCTTCTCAGCCTATGAAGCTCTCAACTGTCTTCTCAGCCTAGGAAGCTCTCAACTGTCTTCTCAGCCTAGGAAGCTCTCAACTGTCTTCTCAGCCTAGGAAGCTCTTAACTGTCTTCTTAGCCTAGGACACTCTCAACTGTCATCTCAGCCTAAGACACTCTCAACTGTCTTCTCAGCCCAGGAAGCTATCAACTGTCTTCTCAGCCTAGGATAATATCAACTGTCTTCTCAGCCTAGGATACTATCAACTGTCTTCTCAGCGTAGGATACTATCAACTGTCTTCTCAGCGTAGGATACTATCAACTGTGTTCTCAGCCTAGGATTCTATCAACTGTCTTCTCAGCCTAGGATACTATTAACTGTCTTCTCAGCCTAGGATACTATCAACTGTCTTCTCAGCCTAGGATACTATCAACTGTCTTCTCAGCCTAGGATACTATCAACTGTCTTCTCAGCCTAGGATACTATCAACTGTCTTCTCAGCCTAGGATACTATCAACTGTCTTCTCAGCCTAGGACACTATCAACGGTCGTCTCAAACAACCATATCTTCACCCCCTCCAGTGTCCTAACTATTTCATTTCCTTTACAGTTCACTATTTGCATTCAAATACATTCTAGTATCTGCATTCACAGTTCAGTATTTGCATTCACACACAGTCTAGTATTTGCATCCACACACAGTCTAGTATTTGCATCCACACACAGAGTCTAGTATTTGCATCCACACACAGTCTAGTATTTGCATCCACACACAGTCTAGTATTTGCATCCACACACAGTTCATTATTTGCATCCACACACAGTTCAGTATTTGCATCCACACACAGTCTAGTATTTGCATCCGCACACAGTTCAGTATTTGCACACACACAGTTCAGTATTTGCATCCACACACAGTTCAGTATTTGCATCCACACACAGTTCATTATTTGCATCCACACACAGTCTAGTATTTGCATCCACACACAGTTCATTATTTGCATCCACACAGTTCATTATTTGCACACACACAGTTCATTATTTGCATCCACACACAGTTCATTATTTGCATCCACACATAGTTCATTATCTGCATCCACACACAGTTCAGTATTTGCATCCACACACAGTTCATTATTTGCATCCACACACAGTTCAGTATTTGCATCCACACACAGTTCATTATTTGCATCCACACAGTTCATTATTTGCATCCACACACAGTTCATTATTTGCATCCACACACAGTTCATTATTTGCATCCACACACAGTTCAGTATTTGCATCCACACAGTTCAGTATTTGCATCCACACAGTCCAGTGCTAGTGGACTCTAGAATGTTCTTGGCCAACAAAACTAAATGTGTTACTAAACTTTAGAATGTTGTTAACTAACAAAACCATATACTATTGCATTCTAGAATGTTCTTGGCCAACAAAGCTACATGTGCTAGTACACTCTAGAAAGTTCTCAGCTAAGAAAACTACATATTCTACTGGACTCTAGAATGTTCTTGGCCAACAAAGCCACATCTTGGCTAACATAAACATGTATTAAAGTGCACTGTAGAAAGTTACCTTGTGGTGAAAGGCAGCCCCAGTCAAGACCATGGATATAGCATTCATCCACTCGGATTCATAACTGTAACTCTGGGAGCTGTTCTGCCACAGATGGAGGCGGGATGGGTAGCCCACAAGTCTGTCCGGGTGCTCTCTCCACACCTGTCGTGATAAATACAGATATACTGAGCCAGGTGCACCAATAACATCATCATCACTAATAACAGCTGATCAAATACCTTCTAGGACTGTTTTCAACAACTGACCTTGACCACAACACTGACCCAGCCTAAAATGGGAAGTAAATGTGGCTGGCATAATGTTGACCATATTATCAGTCAAGTGAGATCTGACTGGTCTATCAGAATATGGATATAGCATCATATGCAAGATCGGACACTGGTGTAAATGAAAAAAAAGTGGGGGGGGGGGGGGGGTCCTTTACTTGTGTAAAAGACTTTCCTTTGGCTGTTCTTTCTCCACGGCCCAATTGTTTCTGTCATTGGTTGTGGTGCCTTCTCCCAGACAGTAACCTGACCTCATGATTGAATGACCAGCACCATGTCCCAGTGATATTTCTCCACAGTAACTCGGACAATAATCATCAGGTATGAGGTCACCAGAAGCATCTAAGACTAAACAAAAACAAAATGGAGGCCTCCATGCTGGGATAAAGTGAGTGGCTATTTTCTTAGTTTGTGTGATCTATTTCTTTTCATAGAAGATTCTTGAAGATGTGAGTTGGACATCCCTTGAAGTATTGTTATGTTCAATTGTTTGTTTGGCTATAAAAGGTCAGCTGTTTTGACACATGAAGTGGAACAATCATAGAAGTTTTGTAACCAAATGTGAAAGGGTGATAGTGAGGAAGGATTCTGGTGAAAACAAATGTGAAAGGGTGATAGTGAGGATGAATTTTGGTGAAAACAAATGAATCTCAAATTTCCCTGTGTGGGTTATGGTGCCCCATTTTAGGGAAAACAAGAACAGACCTACTACCTCCACAATAAACTTGCTGCAAGAATAGAATAACTGAGAGCTTCCTTTGAAGTCAGAGTGCATCTGCCTGAGAGGCAAGGAACCAGCAATGTGCATACAAAAAAGTTTGATCTGTAAAACAGATGTGCACACAAAACTCAGGTTTTGGAACAAGACTAAAGTCCAGAACTTTCTGCCGGAATTTACAGCCAGTGATCGCAAAGAAGACAAAATCTCAAATGGGTGTTCAAGTGTTGATCAATAATTGGATGAAAACAGCAATGACAAATGCCAACACCCTAAACAATGCATGCAGTGACAGCAGCCGGACAGCAAGACCCTGAAAACAGCAGCAGTAACTGAAGATGATATCAAGAGGAATGAATATCCATAAAGAGAGAGACAGTGCTCTCAAGGCCAAATTCTTCAAAACTCGTTTATTTGTTTCGTTACCTCATAACCAAATTCTACAAAACTCGTTTATTTGTTTTATTACCTCATAACCAAATTCTACAAAACTCGTTTGTTTCGTTACCTCATAACCAAATTCAACTTCGTCCGGAGTCAGCATCACTATATCATCATCTAGAGCCAGAATACATTCAGTTTCTATCTCATCGTAGGGGAAAAATCTGCAACAGTCAAAATGAAAACGTGAAATATGAAACAATGATAAACTATCAACACATGAAATTTTAAACAAAGATAAAACTATCAAATGATAAAATCATGAAATTAATATGACAAGTTAAACCTTTTAGCCACATCAAAAGACAACACTCACATAACAAATACTCTTGGGGGGAAGTTAAAGTTAGGAGAACATGAAGCAGAAAATGTTAATTGCTGTTGTGATACGGTCAAAGCATCCAAGGTATCACAGTTCCGCACATGGGCGACGTACCATGGCCGCCCCTTGTTGAGTGGTTTATGCTAATGGTGATCACTGCTGCAGCATTGATAATGATGCCACTCCAGAAGAAATAAAATTAGGTACAGCTGATGTCCCATTTTACTGTCCATATTCACTTAATTGGTGTTGTTTATTCATTACGTACACAGATGAATATTTCCCGGAAGAAACAAAACTGGGAAAGGCTTGAGTCCCATGTCAATGTTTCCAGGACGAAAAACATAAAGAGGAGGATGGATTGTGGTGGCAGATGAACTTCTCACTGTTGCTCTGGTTCAACTAATGGATCACTCACTCAACAAATAATGGCTTAAAGTCCAAACAGTTCTCCCCAGTCCCCACAACTGGACAGAACACAATGCATCTTTGCACTCTATGTCCTGATGGTTGCTACGGACACCTCATGGCCGCTCGCGCTGTATCTTTCACTAATGGTCGTCACCATCCTCTGGCAAATCTCTATCCAAGAGACCCTGCCATCTGAGGTCTTAAGGTAGTCACACCACATTGGTGAATAAAATCTAGAATGTCGTCTGATACCTTGTCACAAGTATCCTCTGACATCTTCCCATCACCACCTCACACTGGTTTCAACACAGTTACCATAAGTCAACCAGCATGTCACACAGTTACCACAAGTCAACCAGCATGTCACACAGTTACCACAAGTCAACCAGCATGTCACACAGTTACCACAAGTCAACCAGCATGTCACACAGTTACCACAAGTCAACCAGCATGTCACACAGTTAGCACAAGTCAACCAGCATGTCACACAGTTAGCACAAGTCAACCAGCATGTCACACAGTTAGCACAAGTCAACCAGCATGTCACACAGTTAGCACAAGTCAACCAGCATGTCACACAGTTAGCACAAGTCAACCAGCATGTCACATAGATGCACCAGTGCTAACCCTCACCACAAATGGGCCAACCCTTACTCTGTCCTCCTATAAATATATATATGAAAACATTCAGAGCTCCATTTTCTAATTCACCAAATTCAACTAGACCATGCAGACATTCTGACAGAATAAAATACATGATTAAAGCGGCACATAACATGAACAAGCAGCCAAACTCTTTCACTGACTGAAGACTAATGATTCAGACTACCAAGGGATTCGTCTACCAGCTGTCACTCTCACGTGGGTCTGGCCATATCGGTGGAAACTAAATCTCACTCAACCTCACTCCCACACTGTTTTAGTGGCTGAAGTTTCCACGCTCACTTCTCACTTAGGTCAACCATTTCACAAACAGTTGAGGAGTCATTTTCTCCCTGATAATGTATGGTAACCTTTATGAGGTCAGACAATGAACATGAATAATGTACCTGAGTGGGTGAGAGAATCACGAACCAATCATGGCCCATGGACAAATGTTGGTCAAACTAGAAAATTGCTTAACTCGTACAAAATGAGAGAGCATGAGGATGATCTAGAACATGGGTGAGAAGGATTATTTAATGCCTGGAAGATTCCAAAATCTAGAGGAGTCGGTCTCGTTTGGGTTTCAAGAACAGTGTGTGTGATGAATGAAGTTACAAGTTGATTTGGCTGTGAATTATGGGCCAAACCTGGCCACCGTTTGTTTGATGATTATAGTCAACATCGGACATGTTGTTGTGGTTCAGCGTGGAAGACTGGGACTGTTAATTTGTCCCCGTCAGAATATGCATGTAATATTTCTGAAAAAAAAAGTAAAGATTTTCTAGAGCTCCATGTTTCCTAATCCGCTGTGGAATTGTGATCCACAGAATGTCACTACAGGGTGTCCTTGCTGAAGGCGATTGAGAGAATTAATAAACATTGCATGGTTTCATCGGCTGTGTGTTTGCAGTGTCCTGTTTTAACATGCTGCAGTTCTATTGGTCTGCACCCTAGGAATTTAAAATGGCTAGAGCCAAGAGACTAAAAAAGAGAGTCATTGCAAATAGTAATGTGTACTTTCACACCCTCTGACCTCTGGTATAAACGCCCAGTTAGCACACAATAAAAATAACACATGATAACTGATTTGTCTGCCAATGTATCATCATGTGTGAGAACAGAGGCATCTGAGAATATCCTGATAACTGTAATGATGAGTGACAAAATAAGTGGACACAAAAACATGATCCCAGATGGTCAGAGCAGATAGTGAGGTGAAGGTATAAGTGGACACAGAAACATGATCACAGATGGTCAGGGCAGATAGTGAGATGAAAGAATAAGTGGACACAGAAACATGATCTCAGATGGTCAGGGCAGTGAGGTGAAGGAATAAGTGGACACAGAAACATGATCACAGATGGTAGGAGCAGATAGTGAGGTGAAGGAATAAGTGGACACAGAAACATGATCACAGATGGTCAGGGCAGTGAGGTGAAGGAATAAGTGGACACAGAAACATGATCACAGATGGTCAGGGCAGATAGTGAGGTGAGGAAATAAGTGGACACAGAAACATGATCACAGATGGTCAGGGCAGATAGTGAGGTGAGGGAATAAGTGGACACAAAAACATGATCACAGATGGTCAGAGCAGTGAGGTGGAGGAATAAGTGGACACAGAAACATGATCACAGATGGTCAGGGCAGTGAGGTGAAGGAATAAGTGGACACAGAAACATGATCACAGATGGTCAGGGCAGATAGTAAGGTGAGGGAATAAGTGGACACAGAAACTTGATCACAGATGGTCAGGGCAGATAGTGAGGTGAGGGAATAAGTGGACACAGAAACTTGATCACAGATGGTCAGGGCAGTGAGGTGAAGGAATAAGTGGACACAGAAACATGATCACAGATGGTCAGGGCAGTGAGGTGAAGGAATAAGTGGACACAGAAACATGATCACAGATGGTCAGGGCAGATAGTGAGGTGAAGGAATAAGTGGACACAGAAACATGATCACAGATGGTCAGGGCAGATAGTGAGGTTAGGGAATAAGTGGACACAAAAACATGATCACAGATGGTCAGAGCAGTGAGGTGAAGGAATAAGTGGACACAGAAACATGATCACAGATGGTCAGGGCAGTGAGGTGAAGGAATAAGTGGACACAGAAACATGATCACAGATGGTCAGGGCAGATAGTAAGGTGAGGGAATAAGTGGACACAGAAACTTGATCACAGATGGTCAGGGCAGTGAGGTGAGGGAATAAGTGGACACAGAAACTTGATCACAGATGGTCAGGGCAGTGAGGTGAGGGAATAAGTGGACACAGAAACTTGATCACAGATGGTCAGGGCAGTGAGGTGAGGGAATAAGTGGACACAGAAACATGATCACAGATGGTCAGGGCAGATAGTGAGGTGAAGGTATAAGTGGACACAGAAACATGATCACAGATGGTCAGGGCAGTGAGGTGAAGGAATAAGTGGACACAGAAACATGATCACAGATGGTCAGGGCAGTGAGGTGAAGGAATAAGTGGACACAGAAACATGATCACAGATGGTCAGAGCAGTGAGGTGAAGGAATAAGTGGACACAGAAACATGATCACAGATGGTCAGGGCAGATAGTGAGGTGAAGGAATAAGTGGACACAAAAACATGATCACAGATGGTCAGGGCAGATAGTGAGGTGAATGAATAAGTGGACACAGAAACATGATCACAGATGGTCAGGGCAGATAGTGAGGTGAGGGAATAAGTGGACACAAAAACATGATCACAGATGGTCAGAGCAGTGAGGTGAAGGAATAAGTGGACACAGAAACATGATCACAGATGGTCAGGGCAGTGAGGTGAAGGAATAAGTGGACACAGAAACATGATCACAGATGGTCAGGGCAGATAGTAAGGTGAGGGAATAAGTGGACACAGAAACTTGATCACAGATGGTCAGGGCAGATAGTGAGGTGAGGGAATAAGTGGACACAGAAACTTGATCACAGATGGTCAGGGCAGTGAGGTGAAGGAATAAATGGACACAGAAACTTGATCACAGATGGTCAGGGCACTGAGGTGAAGGAATAAGTGGACACAGAAACATGATCACAGATGGTCAGAGCAGATAGTGAGGTGAAGGAATAAGTGGACACAGAAACATGATCACAGATGGTCAGGGCACTGAGGTGAAGGAATAAGTGGACACAGAAACATGATCACAGATGGTCAGGGCAGATAGTGAGGTGAAGGAAATAGGGAACACTGAAACATGATCACAGATGGTCAGGGCACTGAGGTGAAGGAATAAGTGGACACAGAAACATGATCACAGATGGTCAGGGCACTGAGGTGAAGAAATAAGTGGACACAGAAACATGATCACAGATGGTCAGGGCACTGAGGTGAAGGAATAAGTGGACACAGAAACATGATCACAGATGGTCAGAGCAGATAGTGAGGTGAAGGAATAAGTGGACACAGAAACATGATCACAGATGGTCAGGGCACTGAGGTGAAGGAATAAGTGGACACAGAAACATGATCACAGATGGTCAGGGCAGATAGTGAGGTGAAGGAAATAGGGAACACTGAAACATGATCACAGATGGTCAGGGCACTGAGGTGAAGGAATAAGTGGACACAGAAACATGATCACAGATGGTCAGGGCAGATAGTGAGGTGAAGGAATAAGTGGACACAGAAACATGATCACAGATGGTCAGGGCAGATAGTGAGGTGAAGGAATAAGTGGACACAGAAACATGATCACAGATGGTCAGGGCAGATAGTGAGGTGAAGGAATAAATCCTACCAACAGAAGTGACCCACAATGCCAACAACTCAGATCGGTAGAAGGAAACAAATGTCAAAGCCTGATGACAAGACACATGATAATGATGATAATAATGATGCTGATGATGACGATGATGAATATATGGGACATTTAACATTTGAATCATTCTAACTCTGTCCCTGGAGACTGAGCCTTCTACAGATGTGGTCAGAGAGCAGTTAACAAAAAAAGCTGATAGACTCACCTGTTACTCAACCTGTTATATTTAGTCTGTATGATTTTGATTGGCTTCCCAATATTGGGCCACTGATTCACTAGAGGAGCAAGAAGATTGATTGTCAGAAAACTGACGGAAATATACAGGCTAGGTGAAGTTTACGCATTTATTAACATAAATTCATGTTTCACTCTTTTGTTTATGATGCAGAATAGACATCACTGTCACTAGGGCAGGTCCACAAGTGATCTGTCTCCCCCTGCAAAAGTCACGAGTCCCGTTAGGTAACGATCAGGGGCATATTAATGTAGTCCTTCTCAGCGTTCGCTGAATAAGCTGGTTGATAAAATAGCTGCTATCATTTTCTGAGTGGTGATCTTCTTGATAAGACAGGTATGGGGAAAGCTCTCTGAGATCAGCTGTATACAGCAGGTTCATGCAGAAAACTGACTGCCCACATCAGGAGGAGACAATCTACATTCTTTAGTCATGTCATGAATAGAAGAAACTTGGAGTACATCGTGGCGGTGGGAAAGTTGATTGGGAGAAGAGGCAGAGGAAGACTGAGAGAGAAGATGCTGTACAGCCTGACCATGGAAGATAATATGTCAGAATTGACAGAGAGTATACAAGACAGAAGGATGTGGATAAACATGACTACAAATGCCACATGGCATGCACTATCAGAAGAAGAAGAGCAGTATGTAGACAAAGAGAAAGGCAAACTTTTAATTAGGTTGCCAGTCGCAACATCAGCATATGAAGTCTTTGTTGGTAACTGAAAGCTGGCTCGCGTGGCAATGTCGCAACAATAGTGACATCAAATCTTGATTCACTGATTCTACCAGTTCCACGCAAAGTTCACCCTGGTAATAGACAACAGTTCACTTTGTATCTTGACAATCAAACAGCTGAGGTGATGGAATTTCATTTACATTGAACCACACCATCATACATGGAGTCTCCCGTTTATTTTCTATAGAAATCTATGCTGCCAATTTCAATAGATGGGCCAATAACATTTGCATACATGGTTAGATAATTTGTTGTTCTCAAGACTACAAAGAAAACAGTGTTGTGTGTGAGGGTTTTAATTCATTACTCAAATGTGTGAGAGAACTAAGAAAACAGTGTTGTGTGTGAGGGTTTTAATTCATTACTCAAATATGTGAGAGAACCAAGAAAACAGTGTTGTGTGTGAGGGTTCTATTCATTACTCAAATGTGTGAGAGAACCAAGAAAACAGTGTTGTGTGTGTGGGTTCTATTCATTACTCAAATGTGTGAGAGAACCAAGAAAACAGTGTTGTGTGTGAGGGTTCTATTCATTACTCAAATGTGTGAGAGAACCAATAAAACAGTGTTGTGTATGAGGGTTTTATTCATTACTCAAATGTGTGAGAGATCCAAGAAAACAGTGTTGTGTGTGGGGGTTCTATTCATTACTTAAATGTGTGAGAGATCCAATAAAACAGTGTTGTGTGTGAGGGTTCTATTCTTTACTCAAATGTGTGAGAGAACCGATAAAACAGTGTTGCGTGTGAGGGTTCTATTCATTACTCAAATGTGTGAGAGAACCAATAAAACAGTGTTGTGTATGATGGTTCTATTCATTACTCAAATGTGTGAGAGAACCAAGAAAACAGTGTTGCGTGTGAGGGTTCTATTCATTACTCAAATGTGTGAGAGAACCAATAAAACAGTGTTGTGTATGAGGGTTCTATTCATTACTCAAATGTGTAAGAGAACCAAGAAAACAGTGTTGTGTGTGAGGGCTCTATTCATTACTCAAATGTGTGAGAACCAATAAAACAGTGTTGTGTATGAGGGTTCTATTCATTACACAAATGTGTGAGGGAACCAATAAAATAGTGTTGTGTATGAGGGTTCTATTCATTACTCAAATGTGTGAGAGAACAAAAAAAAAAATAAACAACAGAACTGCAGCTTAGATGCCCAGTAGTGTGTGATGTCTGTGCTTTCAGTTCTCACTTGAGATGAGGAACCATGGTTTGTTTGTGAGTGACTGTATGTCTGTGTGCATGCGATCTAACAATCAGAGATCACACGTCAGGAGCCGACCATCAACACTTACCTGGTGGAGGAATCACCTCTTGATTATTCCAGACAACAATGATCTTGGCTAGACTAGGAACTTTTCCAACCTGGCGCACAACTTGAAACAGAGAATCAATTCTGTCATAGGTCAATATGACCGCAGTGAAGCCAAGAGATTTCGGGGCTCGAAGAGGTAGAAACAATGGATTCTTGATGGCTCTCTGAAGAAACAAAATTATTCACTAGATTAATTAACATTTTTCAGTTTTGAAATCAGGGAGTTGATATCACTCAGCAGAGATCATCAAGTGTCTTGCTGAATAGCATGGGTCTTCATGTCTCTCCACAGATAGTCTTCTTGCTCTGTGTCGTCCCTGATAAGGTGCTGGGACGTTATGGTTTAGTCAGGCTGCCATATCCGCAGCTTTCAGTCCAACAAATCCAAGTTCAGCAAATCCTTAATGACTGCAGTGGGACTACACCCGCCAAATGGGACCCAGGATCCATACAGGGAACACAACAGTTCAGAGAGCCAGTACATATGTTGTCTGGTACGTACAATACCGGGACATCCGGATAGGATGTTTTTGCCAGCCCAGCATAGATAACACCAATCAATGGAAGACATGCATGGCAGATAAGTCTTGCTATTCTTTGTTTCCTTTAACCCAGTCACCATGAGTTGACTTAATCTGGTCACTTCTGTTTGTGCCACAGTCTCCTAAATGCTGATATATCAGCTGGTCTGCAGTCACCGTGAGTTGACTTAATCTGGTCACTTCTGTTTGTGCCACAGTCCCCTAAATGCTGATATATCAGCTGGTCTGCAGTCACCGTAGGTTGACTAAATCTCATCACTTCTGTTTGTGCCACAGTCTCCTAAATGCTGATATATCAGCTGGTCTGCAGTCACCTGCTCTCCAAAAGTGTGGTTAAATCCACTGAAAGTAACTAAAAATAAAAAGGGTGGTGGGGAGGAGGGGGGTGCATGCAGCACCAATGATCATGTCCCTCCATCACTTTCTGTTGCCTGTAGTCTTGATCAGTTCAGCAGGTGATCCAATCATCTGCTCAATTGACCAAAACTATGGGCAACAAACACTAACTGAGGATCATGATCACTGGTGCTGCATACCACTGCACATACAGATGATGACGATGATGTTTTCATCTTTACTAACATAGCCTGAGACCCTCTGGACTGGCCAGCAGTGCACAATGAACATTCTGTGGACAAAGGTGTATAAGAGGAACTGACCAGATTTGGCAGCTCATTCCATTCATCGTATGTGGTGGCATCAAAAGGAAACACTCTGTCGTTGATGATCTGCAGCGTGGTGAGAGTGATGTCAGACAACGACTTGAAATATTTTTGCCAGTAGAACTGAACTTGTCTCCTCATGTTGAAGATTCTTTCAGTGCTGTAGTTCTTCAGGATCTCCACCACATCAGAGAGGTGTTCCTCCTTGATATGTACTGCAGCTCTAAAGATGAGACATTGAGAGTCAGAACATGTAAAGATGTATGCAGACATAGCTCTCCCTATGGTTCATTTCCTAGTTAATAAAGTCTTTACTTTTGTGCAAAAGATGGCCAGTAATTATTATTTTTTTTCACACAATTTATTACAAAGTCATAACTGTTGTTTATACAAAGCATTACAAAGTCATGTTGTTTATACAAAGCATTACAAAGTCATGTTGTTTATACAAAGCATTACAAAGTCATGTTGTTTATACAAAGCATTACAAAGTCATGTTGTTTATACAAAGCATTACAAAGTCATGTTGTTTATACAAAGCATTACAAAGTCATGTTGTTTATACAAAGCATTACAAAGTCATGTTGTTTATACAAAGCATTACAAAGTCATGTTGTTTATACAAAGCATTACAAAGTCATGTTGTTTATACAAAGCATTACAAAGTCATGTTGTTTATACAAAGCATTACAAAGTCATGTTGTTTATACAAAGCATTACAAAGTCAATACTACTGTTCACACAGTGCATTATAAAGTCATTCCTACTGCTCTTATCTGGGATTTTGTAGCAGTTACTAAGTTTGTCTTGAATTACACAGCCATTTCTATGGTTTTCGAATAATATTCACCTTCACATTGGCATTGTGATGTAAATACCAACTCCCAGCTGCTGTATAAACACCAACATTCATAGCTGCCCATCAATTCTGACAACGCTGACAGTCAACATTTTTTAGAAAACTCAATGTAAACAGTTCCAAGAAAACAATCTGATGGTTAACAATTCTGAGACAACTCTCAATAGTAAACAATTCTTAAATAATAATCTAACATTGAACAACTATAGCAACTTGGCAGCGTACAATTCCAAGAAAACTCTATCTGACATTCAACAATTCAAAGATAGCTCTATCGGACAGTCAAAAATTTCAAGATCTGACAGTCAACAGTTTCTCGATAAATCTTGGCAGGCAACAATCCCAATATCATTCTCTGGCTGTCAACAATTCCAAGAGAACTTTTAATGGACACAAATTCAAAGTAACTCACCGTGTGTAGGTTCCAGAGCAGTATTGTCGGCAACAAAAAGAATAGACCCACTGACCCCCAACTAGCATGTTGCAGAGGGCCACTAATGAGGGATGTTTCTTTCAAAATCAGATTAGATCTGCCTGAGGAAGAGGAACCAATAGTCTGCATACAAATAAGCTAGATCTGTAAAATGGATGTGCATGCAAAACATCAGGTTCTGGAACAAGACCAAATCCATAAATGGATGAACAACTAGAACTTTCTGCTGGAGTTTACATCCGCTGGATACAAAGAAGATTACAAAGCAATGTTCTCAGTCAACAACAACAACAACTGCAAACCTTGTCCAGTCCAGAGCCTCATGGAAGGGTAACAAGTAGCCATCAGCAGCCACCACAGGGATGCAGCCGGCCATGAGAACATCCATCAGAGAAGGCTGGCCCAGACGGTTGCCCCTGACCACCAGACAAAATGTGGACTCCTGCAAGACAAGGGTCAAAGTGTCAAAATTGCCCATACTCTTATTTCCAAGTCATGCACACAGCTATAGTTGTCAAGTCTCTACTTTATACTTTATGTGGCTGGGTGAGTGGCTAGATCACTTGGATCTCATGAAAGAGACTCAGGTTTGAATCCTCAGTAAAGTAAGACAGTTTTCTGTCTCAGGCAAAAATGAACATCCTAACTTGCATAGTTCGTGGCAACTGAACTAAGCTTCAGACCCCTCGCATGCATGGCTCCATGTTACTTATGGCCGTTGTTTAAATAAAATGAAAGCCATAGTAAACGCCTAAACATATTACACATCCTTAAAGCTAGGACAGACCTACACAAAACAAGTTTGGCGTACTCCGCAGCTCAAAGGTGGAACTATCTTCGATAACAAATCAAAAATACCACTAGTCCCTATACCTACAATCAGAAACTTTGAATATTATCTGAGAACAGATTAAAAATATTTCAAAAATAGGGCACATTTTCCCTAGATTTATTACAACTACTACGGTTTACTGTAGTTAGAAATGTGCACATTCCAAACTACTACGGTTGACTGTAGTTAGAAATGTGCACATTCCAAACTACTACGGTTTACTGTAGTTAGAAATGTGCACATTCCAAACTACTACGGTTGACTGTAGTTAGAAATGTGCACATTCCAAACTACTACGGTTGACTGTAGTTAGAAATGTGCACATTCCAAACTACTACGGTTTACTGTAGTTAGAAATGTGCACATTCCAAAAACTACTACGGTTGACTGTAGTTAGAAATGTGCACATTCCAAACTACTACGGTTGACTGTAGTTAGAAATGTGCACATTCCAAACTACTACGGTTTACTGTAGTTAGAAATGTGCACATTCCAAACTACTACGGTTTACTGTAGTTAGAAATGTGCACATTCCAAACTACTACGGTTTTACTGTAGTTAGAAATGTGCACATTCCAAACTACTACGGTTGACTGTAGTTAGAAATGTGCACATTCCAAACTACTACGGTTTACTGTAGTTAGAAATGTGCACATTCCAAACTACTACGGTTTACTGTAGTTAGAAATGTGCACATTCCAAACTACTACGGTTGACTGTAGTTAGAAATGTGCACATTCCAAACTACTACGGTTTACTGTAGTTAGAAATGTGCACATTCCAAACTACTACGGTTTACTGTAGTTAGAAATGTGCACATTCCAAACTACTACGGTTTACTGTAGTTAGAAATGTGCACATTCCAAACTACTACGGTTTACTGTAGTTAGAAATGTGCACATTCCAAACTACTACGGTTTACTGTAGTTAGAAATGTGCACATTCCAAACTACTACGGTTTACTGTAGTTAGAAATGTGCACATTCCGGTGCTTGTATTGAATATTTTAATGCTACTGATATTGTTTATTATTACTTGATGTATGAATGACATGATGTAAGAACGGAGAGACCTCGAAAGGCAGAATGTTAGACGAGCCTGCATGCCTTATCCTTAACCCTTTAAAGATAAAGTTTGTTTCTTCATTCTATCAGAGGAAAACACAGACAATAGCAGTAAAGATTTCTAAATATGTTCTGCCTTCTCAGAATGTACATGTCACAGACCAGAGCTATTCAAATGGCGGCTCATTGATGCCTAGAAAATGGCCCATAGATAATTGCCAACTGTATTGTATTAATGATCCTTCTATTCCGGGGCTCAAGCCAGTGGTCAGTGTTGATCCTCATTTTAAACATTCTGGTCCCGGAGTAAACTTAGTTAAACGTACCTGTTATAGATTGACAGTGTAAGGGAAATAGTCGGGTAGAATGAGAACAAATAAGTTCCGATCTTATAGTTTACCATGATGAAAGTACTGACTAATTACCCACCTGTGACCAATTAGGTTTAACTCTATAATACAAGGGAAAAGGGACTGAGTGGACTAGACCTTAAAGTAAAAAGGACATAAGACTTGAAGGTGAGGGTAGGCGAGCTTTGGGCGTTCACAGTGACAGTCAGTTGTGAGACAGCACATCGACAGTGATGGTCGGTTGTGAGACAGCACATCGACAGTGATGGTCGGTTGTGAGACAGCACATCGACAGTGATGGTCGGTTGTGAGACTGATGGTCAGTTGTGAGACAGCACATCGACAGTGATGGTCGGTTTTGATACAGCTAGAAAGGTTTTGGTAGCGACCATATTGTATAACATGCATGAGTATGGACTTTTTGAGCGGATAGTATAGAATTATATAAGCGCAATCCATGGTGACCGCTGCCAGGGTGTCACAATATTTAGTTTACATGAAGCCTGACAATCTGCTACATGTTTAGACATTTCACTTGGGGTATTACATAATGTCAATATGTTGTCAGCATGAGTTTTCAGGAATCGTCTCCGCTGGTGAGGCATCATTCCAAAACGACAGTGGCCGCGGCTTACTTTTCACCTCATTACCACCTAGCAAATCTTGGTTACTGTGTCTGAGCTGCAGCTGCGGCTGTGCAGGTATTGGGAGGATGGCAACATGAGGCCAGGATGCTGCTTGGTGACTGTGTCTGAGCTGCGGCTGTGCAGGTATTGGGAGGATGGCAACATGAGGCCAGGATGCTGCTTGGTGACTGTGGAGTCTGAGAATGAGGGCAGCAATTTTTAAGGACCCTTAGGCTTGGGTTCAAAAAGATGGCCCATTCCAATGTATAAATGTTACATTGACTGTCCAATAAATATGTTTGGGGTGTGTTGTTTACGTTCGTGTGTGATGCGTCAGGGATGCTCCCTGTGATGAGCCGAATGATTTATCTGTTTAATGTAGAGTGACAGAGAGATCCGTGATAGAATACACATGTTTTTGTCAATTTTCCATCTTCTCAGAATGTTTTTATCTTCTAGTATTGCGGGTCTTTCTTCAACACTTTTGTAACCAATTGAAAAGTACTGCATAATTATTATTCTTTTTTTTTAACCGGCAGAAAGCCAGAAAGTCCGGTCATTCGTCCATTTAGACATTGGCTCTGTGCCAGGGCCTGAGTTTTGCGTGTATATCCGTTTTACTGGCTTATTTGTGTGCTGGTTGTTCCTTGCCACTTAAGCAAATGCGCTCTCAACTTCAAAGGAAGAATCCAATTAGTCAACTCTTATGACATGCTTTTGGGGAGGCAGCTGGTCGATTCCTGTTGTCCACATAATTGGGCCCCAAAATCCACACAGGGAGAAAGCCCCTTAAACAGATGTCATTGCAAACTGATTAAGTCAAAGTTGCTTTTCCTCCTTTAGCAAATGTCTTAAGTTGTAGATGCTGACAGGTTCAGTAAAAAACTGGTTATAAATAAACTGGTTATAAACATAACAGATTAATCCTTTCATGAGTTTCCCCCTTTCTGGAACCACTCTACACTCCAAAATCAAAGCTTGTTAAATGCTGTTTTAAATGTTATTGTACTATTATCACTGAGCAGCAGTCATTCATAGTCTTCTAGATATCTCCCTTGTCTATTGTGAGTGTTAAAACTTCTAAAGTTCATTGCCCGGAACTCGAGCATGATCCAGAGAGTATATCCAGGAAGTCCTTGTATTCTTCTTCGCGTTCACCGGCTGTAAACTCTGGCAGAAAGTTCTCGTTGTTCATCCACCTCTGGAATTCATACTTATTTCAGAACCTGAGTATTGTGTGCATATCTCTTTTATACATCTGACTTGTTTGTACACAGACTGTTGGTTCCTTGCCTCTTAGGCAGATGCACTCTGACTTCGAAGGAAGCCCCCAATTAGTCGACTGTTATTTCATGTTTGCTGGGGAGGCAGTGGGTCCATTATTGTTTTCCCCACAACGGGACCCCAGAACTCACACAGGGAATAAGTCCTTGTAAAACAGATAGTCCCTGATCAATGATTACTCATGCTACAACTGCCCATTTTGACTTGTAAAACAGATAGTCCCTGATCAATGATTACTCATGCTACAACTGCCCATTTTGACTTGTAAAACAGATAGTCCCTGATCAATGATTACTCATGCTACAACTGCCCATTTTGACTTGTAAAACAGATAGTCCCTGATCAATGATTACTCATGCTACAACTGCCCATTTTGACTTGTAAAACAGATAGTCCCTGATCAATGATTACTCATGCTACAACTGCCCATTTTGACTCAGATAGTCCCTGATCAATGATTACTCATGCTACAACTGCCCATTTTGACTTGTAAAACAGATAGTCCCTGATCAATGATTACTCATGCTACAACTGCCCATTTTGACTTGTAAAACAGATAGTCCCTGATCAATGATTACTCATGCTACAACTGCCCATTTTGACTTGTAAAACAGATAGTCCCTGATCAATGATTACTCATGCTACAACTGCCCATTTTGACTTGTAAAACAGATAGTCCCTGATCAATGATTACTCATGCTACAACTGCCCATTTTGACTTGTAAAACAGATAGTCCCTGATCAATGATTACTCATGCTACAACTGCCCATTTTGACTCATGCTACAACTTGTAAAACAGATAGTCCCTGATCAATGATTACTCATGCTACAACTGCCCATTTTGACTTGTAAAAAACAGATAGTCCCTGATCAATGATTACTCATGCTACAAAACTGCCCATTTTGACTTGTAAAACAGATAGTCCCTGATCAATGATTACTCATGCTACAAAACTGCCCATTTTCATGACTTGTAAAACAGATAGTCCCTGATCAATGATTACTCATGCTACAACTGCCCATTTTGACTTGTAAAACAGATAGTCCCTGATCAATGATTACTCATGCTACAACTGCCCATTTTGACTTGTAAAACAGATAGTCCCTGATCAATGATTACTCATGCTACAACTGCCCATTTTGACTTGTAAAACAGATGTCCCTGATCAATGATTACTCATGCTACAACTGCCCATTTTGACTTGTAAAACAGATAGTCCCTGATCAATGATTACTCATGCTACAAACTGCCCATTTTGACTTGTAAAACAGATAGTCCCTGATC